GTGGCTGTTAGTTAAATTAAACTTCAATTTTTATTAGTCTTTTCCTTCAGAAAAGTTGATACTTTAAATATATTTTATGGTATTAGTTTAGCAGGATGGATTCAAAGTGACAAAAACTTTTTTGGAAGCTTAAGAAGCTTGTCTTGTTTTCTGTATTTACATAATTAAATAACACTAGTATTACATGCATGTAGTTTTTTCTTTGAGTTTGATTTGAAAGAGGATCAGTGAGTTTAAGGGGCTAAAATAAAAATAAAAGGAAAAGAGGATTATTTTTTTTTTTTAATATGTACACAATCTCTGATGTTTCTGGGTGGGGAAAGAGAAAGGGTAGAGTTCTTTCTCCTAATTTTAATATCTCCTTATTTCCAATTTCTCCACTGTGAAATTCAGTTACAGAGAATATGGCAATTGAATAAGTGATTAAATTAACAGAAGAAGAACCAAGAAGCTGAAAGCTGTGCAGTTTACAAGGGATAGGATGCTTTTGAAAAAAGTTCTATGGGGTCTAAAATATGGGTGCTAATGAAAGGTACAGTCCTGCTCCAGGCAGTAGATGCCTGACATTTCCATTGTGTCAGAGTAATTCCTGGACTGGCCAATTCACTAAACTGGCAGAAAATTAACCCAGGAAAAAAGTGTACAGATGATTATAAGGATAGGATTAGGATGGAGGTCAGGCAGCATGGGTAATGGTAGAACAAGGCTGACCATTAGACTGGCTGAGCTGTTTAATCCAAATACATCTCTGTGTGTATCTTTGTTAGATTACTGAAAACTGTATTCAATTAACCTGTTTAACTCAGTGCATGATTAATTATAGCTCCCCCATTCCAATTCAGTACGACAACTGTTGCAGTTAAAGATCTGGTAACATACAGCCTTAAGCTACCTGCTGTCTCTAGAAATCATAGAACAAAATAAGAAAAATTGATGCTCTTAAACATTCAACAGTAGAAGAGGCCATTTCTCTGTTGCTTCACTTATTCCCTTGTTTGGAATTTGACTTTCACAAACCTTTTGAGAGTGAGCAGTGTGCTTCTAAAGTGCAAAGCTCATAAATCAATCAAATAAATAGAGTTGTGAAAGGGTAAGATATTTACCTTTCTTTTTCTATTTCTTTCCTAAAGACATCTTTCTTGCAGGGCTTGCGTTATGACAGCTGCCTTGCTAATTTAAAAAGAATAGAAGTTAAACTAAAGTTTGGAGCATGGAGGTTTTTACTCTGGTTTTGGGTGGCAACAAAAATACTTCGATATTCAAGAGTCAGGGTTTTTCTTTGTGTGTGTGGTTACTGTTGGTTTTTAGTTGTTGTTGGGTTTTTTTGTTTGTTTGTTTGTTCTTCCCCAGCAGCAAACTTCTCCCATTAATTTTTAACATCAAAGCTGGAACAGGATTTCCATGTCCTGCTTTACATTCTGGAGGTCACAATGCCTCCCTCTATTCTTATTTTAAAATATTAGTTGTGGAAACTCTTCTGGCCCCTGCAGGCTGATTGGGAAGAAAGTCCAATGTGAGACTGTAAATTATGCAGGATTATGTTAGAATCCGATTTCACTTCAAGGAATCGTACGTCTTCAGAGTGTCTTATGGGTGATGCTGAAAATGTAGGCTGAGTGGCAACCAGAGGAAGAACCATAAGGGTGGATTCACAGAGCGCTGGTTTGTTAAATCTGGTTTGCTAAACCTAAGCTGTCCTAGTTTAACTTCCGCTCCCTTCTTTAAAGAGAATGCTTTTTTTCTGTAGGCAACTGGGTGATTGCTGTGATTACAGTTTTTCTTGTAGCGCCCAATTATTGCAGGCAAACAGATGTATTTCAAAGCCAAGAAGAGTGATTTGAAGAAGCATCGTATCTGCATAAAGTAGTTACCACCTTTTCTTTCCCTCCTCCTCCAATAACTCCTCTCAGTGAGATCTTGTCCTGGTTTGAACATGACAGATCTGAAGAAAGCTCTTTGTTGGTATGAAGAGCTCTTGGTATCACAACGGGAAGTTACGTGGTGTGTGTTGAGTGCAGATATGGAAAAGGAAGAGACAGACCTGTTTTAGGTCTCCTGAATGTGGGAGGTAGAAACATACTGAAGGAGAAGCAGAAGAGCCGCTGTGGACAGACTTTGATGATAATGAATGGGAATATGTCCATATGCTGTAGCCCTTTATTGGGACTATGCTTTTTTTTAACATACAGTATCAAAAATATAGACTAGTATGGAGAAAAATTGCTACTGACGTAGTCACTAGTTCTGCCAATTACAGCTGTTTCATTCTAATTGCCAGGGCATCTCTGATCATAATTTTCATCTATTGATACTTAATTTGTTTTATGGTGCAATTGTTTCAAATTTATGTAAAGCATAATTTGACAAATGCTGCTAACACTGGAGAAGAAATGAAACTCATGTGATGCTCAGATGTCTATTCTTAGGTATTGTCGAGGGAGTCTGTGTTGGCAGCTGCAGCCATGGGAGCAATAATTATAACAATGTGTTAAAAGAAGCAACAAGAAGGAAAGCTACAAACACTAATCTTTGGCACACAGTGTGCTGTCATTACATAGCTTTGCTCTGATATTTAAACTTAATGTCTGTTTCACATTTATCTTTCATGTGTTTATAAACATTGTATTCACTAATGCTTGAAGGCGATTAAGTTTCTAGGCAGAGAGCATCCTCAGTATTTGTGTAACACACAATGTAGTTAGGTGCTGGGATTGCTGAAAACTACCATGATATTGTTGCTCTTGAAAATTGTTCATAGAATCATAGAATGGTTTGGGTTGGAAGGGACCTTAAAGATCATCCAGTTCCAGCCCCCCTGCCCTGGGCAGAGACACCTCGCACCAGACCAGGTTGCTCAAAGCTCCATCCAGCCTGGCCCCCTCCAGGGATGGGGCACCCACAGCTTCCCTGGGCCACCTGAAACAATGGCAGACTGCCCCATGATTCTATGACTCGGATGATCTCCGAGGTTCCCTTCCAACCCGTGACGAGGTTGATTGATTCTGTGGCCCACCCCTGCAGGTGTGCCAGAAGTCGGGGGAGATCTCTCTGCTGAAGCAGCAGCTGAAGGAGGCGCAGGCCGAGCTGGCGCAGCGGGGGGCCGAGCTGCTGGGGCTGCGGGCCCAGCTGCGGGAGGCGCGGGCCCAGCTGCAGGTGGGCGAGCGGCGGGCGCAGGGCCTGCAGGAGGCCGCCCGCCTCAAGGCGCTGGAGCTGGAGGTCTGCGCCAACGAACTGCAGCGTCGCAAGAGCGAGGCCGACCTCTTCCGCGCCAAAGCCGGCCGGCTGGAGCAGGAGGTGGCGGGGCTGAGGGAAGCCGCCCGCGGCCGCTGCCCCCAACCCGCCGAGGGGTTCCCCCCACCACCACCACTCAGCGAGGGATGCCCCCAAGCCGAGGAGGAGGAGCGGGGCAGCATGGGCCTGCGGCGGCAGCTGG